GCAAAAATGCACTGCAAAGAGTGAAAGCGAAATAAAGACATTTTCAGGCAAACAGGAACTGAAAGAATTCCTCAACAGCAAACCCACCCTAAGGAAATGCTGAATGGAAGTACTCCAAGAAGAAAGAAAATGATCCTAGAAGGCATCACAGAGATGTAGGAAATAAGAAGGGAGAGAGTCAAACCGTAAATGAACATTCACTGTAAAAAGCAATATTGATATTGTTTTGTAGGGTTTTAAAGTTATGTAGAATTTAAGTACTTGACAACCGTGTTCGTTTCCAGGACTATTGTAACAATGTACCACAAACTTGGTAGCTTAAAACAAAAAATTTATTCTCTCACTGTTCTGGAGACTGGAAGTCTGAAATAAAGGCTTCAGCAGGACCACATTTCCTCCTTGTAAGGACTCCAGTCATTGGGTCAGGGCTCACCCCCACCTAGTGTGACCTCATCTTAACTTGATTACATCTGCAAGGATCCTATTTCTAATAAGGTCACATGCTCGGGTTCCAGGGGTTAGCACTTTGACGTATCTTTCTGAAGGACACAATTTAATCAACAAGAGCAATAGCACAGAAGTTTGGAGGGGGAGAAAATGGAGTTAAAGTATTCTAAGTTCCATGTTTTGTGAGTATTATAAGAATGTCATGTTTATGACAATGATACATGTCATACTTTCATTATCATTCAGTTCAAAATATATTCTGATTTCCAGTATAGTGTCTTCTTTAATACATGGATTATTTGTGTATAGTATGTCACAAACAGAATAGTTTTATTTCAGGAAGGCAAGGTTGGTTTGAGCTTTGAAAATTAATGAACTAAACTCATTATCTTAATAGAATAAAGAGGAAAATTATATAACCATCTCAACATGGTTTCTGAGTACTTGGTGAGAGAGTAGTACTTGGTTACACAAAAATGACCTCTTGAATACTAACAATGTCCCATTTCTTTATCTGAGTGGTGTTTACATGTATCACTGTTTTCACCATGCTGTGCAATTATGACTTCGGAATTTTTCTGTATTCACACTACACTTAAATAGAAGTTTATTTTTAGAAACGATGACAGGAAAAAGAAAATTAGAAAGGGAAGAAGCACAGCTTAAAATGACAGCTTATAACTTGACAAGGAAAGATAAAGAAAATACATTGATGAACTCAAAATGACTATCAATAATACAAGGCTGATTTAGTGCAGGAGGAAAATAGTCTAACTTGAAATACATCTAAGCCTATCATTACATCACAATGTATTGAGAATTCATGTTAATATACTTAGTCATAGTGCAGGCATATCCAGGAATGTTTTGTGATCAAGATGACTGATTACTGCCCACTTTTCCTCACACACAAGACCCCCAGATCCAGGGAAGCTTAGGTACAGGGCCACCAAGAATAAAGCCTGTTTGTCTCAGCCTCTGCGGCAGCTGGCGGGACGCTGTGTCTAATTCTGCATAACGGAATGTGAGTAGAAATCGCGCATGCAACCTCCGGAGAGTGCCCCGAAGTGTGCTCTCCCTTGTCCCCTCTGTGCTGTGATCACGGAGTTAGAGCTGCCATATTTCAACTCAGAGATGAAGCCATATACTGAGGAGGGAAAAGCCACCCTTGGTGCCCTATATGGCACATCTCTAGACTCTTAAGTGAGAGAAATAACCTTGCTTAAGCCATTGTTAAGTTGTGTCTGAACCAGATGGCCCACACAGCATTAACTACCATTCAGTTTCACTTAATAGGCTCCTGGTTAAAAAGAAAACAAAAGTCACAGCAAGAAAAGGCAATTAGGTGAATTCTAATGTAAAATGGATATTAGATGTTGATGAGTTACTGTTCTTTCCTTCAGTCATTAACTGTGTTTTGGTTATATTGGTTGTTGTTAGATTCATACCGAAATCTTTATTTTCTGATGATTCGGTAATAAAAGCACAGATTGAAGGTAACACAAATATGGCAAAACATTAAACATTGAATCTGGGTGGTAGGTATGCAGATTTGGTTTTATTATGCTTTTATACTTTCCATATGTTTGAAATTTTTCATGATAAAAATTTGACAAAATAAACAAGAAAGACATTTTTAATTGAAGGTAGTGTGTGCTTGGGACTGTCAGAGCAAAGAGGCCAGGCATGAGCCCAGTGAGGGGTGGACCTCAGACCCTTTAACAAAGCTGGTGTGTTTGCGTTGTGTTGCCAGGATTGTTCCTAGACCTAGAGAGAATTGCTTTCTTCTCGCTGAGATTAGTTTACAGATTGTGGGCCGCTTTATCAGTCTTCTTCTGTAACTCAAGTGAAATGGCAAAAACCAGTCTGGAGATAGTGCCCTACAGATGTTGTTTACAGCTAACAGAGTGCATGTGCACTGTTTACTGTGCTTTATTTGCATACTGCCTAATACACTTGGCCTGTCATCTGTGACCCATATTGCACATTGCAGAGAGTTTCATTTCATTGTAACTCTACAGCTGCTCTCGTCTCCCATGCAAATGTTATTATAGTAAGGATAATAATAACGCCCCTTCATTTCTCAGGCTTGCAGAGCCACATTATAAAAGCCAGTCTGTTAGAAAATACATGAAACTAGAACACAGACAGCATTATGCAGGAATGAAACATTTAAAATCTCATCAATGTAAGCTCTGTCTTAAGATCACAGTTATGGAATTTTACTTTAGTTGGATTGTGGGTGATTACTCATTACATTTCCAATAGATTTGTATTATATTATCTGTCATGGGATCAAAATATTTATTCAAACCAAATATCACATCCCTATGATTGTGTAGACTCTTAATTAAGTGTATATGTGCGTGTGTGTGTGTGCATGCCTGTTGACTGTTTTAGTCAATTATGTAACTAGAAATTATATGAATTGATGTATAGAAAATTTTGAACAAAAAAATCTGACTATCCTACAGAATAAAAAAGGCCAATTACTTGGACCTCTTATAATCGGACTGTGTAGAAAATCATTACTTTAAGGAACATTGCAAACTTCCAAGGGTTTCTGTCCATTTTTTTGTTATCAAATAATAGCATCAAAAATATTAGGAACTTCTAGTGATTCTGTAACATCTTACTACATTTGATAAATAGTGACTGCACTAGAGGGAGCATGGATTTAATAACATAGGTAACTGTTAACCACTGTGTTATATACTTGAAACCAACATAAGATCATATATAAATGACACTTAAAAAAATTAGGAAGTTTTTCATAAAGAAAAGTTATATAACATCATGTATTCAAGAGTAATGGTTTTCCCCTTCGGTTGCTTGTTTTCAGAAAAATGATTGTAATATCACCATATTTCTGCAGGACTTTTTTTTAAAAGAATAGACAAATGAGAACCATTTAAATATCTCTTCCTACAGCTCAAAGTGGTTTCTTTAATGACCGCACAAAGAATTCCAAGATTTAGTCCTAATGACTGAAAGACTAGACCTTCAATTTCCAAAAATCTCAACATTATAAAACAGAAGTATTTTAAATTAATTTCTCTTTAGTTATGAAAGATTATAATTTCACTTATGGAAATATATGTCATTAATGTTCCATTTCTTCACACAAGTAAGAAATGCTATTTCAGGAAGTCAGAGTATTCAGATCAAAGTTACTAGATTCTGAGTGCCTCAGGCCCAAAAACTCAGGAAATTGCCATCAGCCGCTGAAATTGAGACAAACATCACTACTACTACTGAATATCCTGTCATTAAATTCCAAGAAAATATAGATTTGATTTTTTAATAAATGTCTTTGGCTCTAAAATACAGTTGTTACGTGGCTGAAGAATAAGCTTTGAGGGTGCAATTCAAAATCTTCATCCTCAGGCCAGTCTGGAAGAATGTACATAAAATATTTACAAGGTCTGTTTTATGCCAACAAATTTGCTCCAGAGGATGGGAAGTGATGAGCCAGATTCTTCTTATACCTAAGCCACTGCCTATGGTATGAAAAATATACTAGAAGCCTATTTACGTTCCAGGTCCGTAACTTACTAGTCAGAAAGTTTCCGCTTTCTGATTCTTTGGATTCAGCATCCTGTTTGTGGCTAAGAGGATCGCTGGATTAACCAGAGACACGCTGCATTTTTGTTAATCTTCCCTGCAGGTCGCATTTTCACATCCCACTTCTGGATATTTTTTCTTTGTCATCAAATACTGGCAGGTGAACTTGATAATTCTTCTGTGCTTTGCAAAGAAAAAGAAGCGTTTAGGTATGACCATGCTTGAGTTTTCCAGAGGAGCTCATTGTTGTATGTACCTGGAATATTATTTTGCTTTCTTATCTTTTATTTTGCAGGAATAAAAATACACCATCTCTGAGCTAGAAGTAATTTGTACTTGGGATCATTCGGTCAAGCACTATTTCAGTTTGATACACTGGTTTTCTATGAGGAAATTACATTTAAACAAAGTCACTTTCAGTCCCTGCTGAAGTGTATGAAAGGGAGGGAGGCCACCATACCTGTCACCTCATTCATCACCAGGGTGGAGCCAGCTAAAATGTCAGGCTGACAGCACCTGCTTTTGTCCACACACCATCTCATTCATTCCCCCCATGCAGCCGGATTGCTTTGCCTTCCTTCACTGGCTACTTCATCATTATGGCAGCTCCAACTGTACAAAGTAGTTAAACATTTGAAGAATTTTACAAGCTGGTAAAATTACTCTGCAACCTCAGTTTTAAAAAATGTAACTTCCAGATGGATATTTCTTCTTTCAAAGTTTTGATTAATTAGGTCTTCAAAACTGTATTTCCTTTTTAAATGATTCATTGAAAACTTGGGCTTATTTTCAGGTGTTTTTTTTAACCACTCAGTTCAAGTTACTATTAAATAATGTCCTTATACTTTTGATTTCTTCTTCAAATGAAAGAAAATCCTTTTGTTGATAGTTTATTCCAAGCTTTGTTTTAATGTGAAAAATCAATGTTTGGACTATTATACTGAATTCCTGCCCTTCTCCCCAGTCTCCCTCTTTTTTGTGGTTTGCAGGTACTGAAAAAAACAAGACATCTGAATTACAAAAGCAATAGGCAATCAACTCAGCCTTTAAAGGTAAGTAACAGTACTGCAAATTCGTCTTCTCTGCGGGAAAGTAGTAAAATGTTCATTAATACAAAATATCATGATAATATAATATACTTATAAAGTAATAAAAATAATTTGCAGATACATATTTTAAGGGCCATCAGAAAATGGATTGTTCACGTATATCCTGTAGTCATTAATTTTTTGTTACATGTTTGTGTTGCTTTCATAGCCATCAGTTTTGTCTTTCCTGTTGTGTGATCAACTTTCTAAGAATGGGAAACACGGAAATACCACATCTTTTGCCTTCTGCCCTCATCCTGTCCTTAGTGATGAATAAGGAAGTGGGCTTGGAATCCAGAATCACTTCAAAACTCAAAATACAATTCTGCCACTATGCCAATAGATTTTAATACTTACAAGCAATAGGTTGTTCAGAAGTTAACAGAAATTATTCTGCTTAAAAGGAGTGCAGGTTTCTGTAGTGGTTCATCTTTGAAATGGCAATGAAGCCAGAGGTGAGGAGCTCTGGCCTCTACTATTCAGCTGACAAAATGACCTTGTGTCATTTAATAAGTCACTTCCTACAATGCTTCATCTTTTTCATAATAACACCAACATCTGAGGTATCAAGGAAGATTTCAATGGTTTTCTGCTTTGTAAGTGGATGTATTTAAACTTTCCCTCCAAGAACTGCGGACATGGTGACTTTTGGTCAAGGCCCCTGTGGTCTGTGTCCTTTCGTTGATAAGCTTTGCTGCCCCAGTCCCTCACTCATCTGTTTATATATCTTCTTGCTCTTTTTCTGACCAAGCATTAGGTTCACTCCTTGGTTTAAGAATAAAGCCACAGCCACGTGATCCCTAACTTGTCAGCATTCTAGCCTCTGCTGGCAGAAATGTTGGGTTTACTACTCCGCTGGCCTTTCGTGGTTCCCCCACCACCACCCTTGCCTGTGTAGCGACCTTTCCTTTCTCCTGGATCGCTTAGCTGTCCAATTTATTTTCGCTTGTCTCTCCCTAGATTTTCCTTAATCATCATCTTCCGTGTCTCTAAAGGTCACCTACTCTTTTACAAGTCCAGTCTCTCCATCTCTTTAGCATCATTATTGTTGAGCTTCCAACTTCCTCAAAATGTAATGGCCACAACACCTCTATTCTTCCGAGAAGCTTTTTCTTTTCAGACTTCCAGGAGGCATTGGCACTGTCTAGGGATCTAAATCTCAATTTAGAGCAAAAGAAACTGAAGTCTGAGAGACAAGTTAGTAAGATTCACCCAGTAATCAACACCAGAGCCAAAACTAAACTTTTTAGCTGCAAAGAACTGGCTAATCCAGCCTTGACTCCCCCTGAGATAATTCCTGCCCCCAGAGGCCCTGGGGGTGCTCTCTCTATGCGACCCAGTCCCTCCAGGGGGGAACAGCCCCAAGCAGAGTGAAGCTCTATTGCAAAGGATGGCGTCTGACATCTGTCACAAACATTAGTAACCAGCACTCGTACAATTCAGCCACCCTTCACTTTCTGCAGCCAGGAGGGAATCATACTGAATACTGAATCTGAATGTGAGTTGGAAAGTGGACAGACATTTTATTCTATGAAAAAAACAAGATTTTTGTTGGTTTGGTTGGGAGAAAAATACCTCAAATCCTCTCATTGGATATTGAATAGAATAATTTTGGCGAAGGTTTTAGCCTTTGTTGGTCGTCCTCGGTTATTATTTTGATTAGCTACCATGGTTACAGATGTGTTCGCTGATCCCCTCTGCGGGAGATTCCTCGGAAGGTTTGACTTTTTTTACCCACCCTGTTTAGGGAAGTTTCAGGCCTCTTGAGATGCCCTCCTTCTGCCTCCTCAGAGCTTCCATCCCTGTCTGGTGGCATCCTTAGGACTGACCATCAATATTTCCAGTCTTTACTGGGAGCAAAATTTTCCTTCAGCTGTCAGTGAAGGACGTCATGTTGCTGTCAGCTCCTGAGTCCGGCATGTTCGTTCATGGAAAATTGTTCTGACACTCAGTCATTATTCCGTTCTCATTGGCATTCATGACCATTTCTGAAAGGTGAATGGTAATTGTATTTCACAGTTTGCACATTATCTTGTTCAAGGCTATGATGTCAGTAAGGCTGTTATCTCCATTTTATGGCTGAAGACACTTTAGCTCAGAGATTCAGTGACTTACCTAAAGTCGCTGAAGATAGTAAGTGACAGAGTTGAGACTAGAATCCTAGCCTAAAGCCAGTGCTTTTCCACACCACTCTGCTAGTCAAAAATTAAGATTGTCTTTCTTTTCTTGCCCCTCTCCCCACTTGTCTGAAAGAAAAATCATCACCCTTCTACAAGTAGATAAGATATTTTCATTCACAAAAAAAGGAGTTTAGCTACCATGAGAATCTTAAGACTCCTCCACACAGCAAAAGAGATTCAGGTCCTATCTCTAAAATTGCTAATTCAACAGAGTGCCCGTTATTGGAACAAACAGCAAATCAAAATTCAAACTCAAGGGTCTTTGACTACTAATCACACTTCTGTGCTACAACTTACTAACACCATGTGACTGTACTCGGAGTCACAGCTCTCAAATGCTCTGTTTTCTCAGTACTTTTTGAGGAGTATGTGGGAGTTGTGCCATGTGACTAACAGCAGTGTAGAGCTGGGCGATAACAGAAACAGAGCTTCCCACACGTTACAGTCAGAGGGTGCTGGAAAGGCCAGGTGGTCTCCTGTGTGTCTGTCCTGTCATATAAGCTCTCAGACTCTCTGGGAGACACCGAGGAGCCTAGGATGGAGAATGAGGAGAGAAAGAGCAGGGGCAGAAGTCGGGTCCGTTACACATCCCCAGCACTGTCGTCAAAGTATGCAACTGCTTAGGTCCTAGGAAGAAAGCACCAAAATGGGGAACATGGGGTATTAAGTTTGTAACGAGTAGAAGTTCTTATACCTAGGAGGCATTCCTTTGTGATGTGCTCGGCACTTCCAATGAAGTCCTGGTGATGGAGTCCTTCCACGAGCTGAGCTGCGTTCCCGCATCTCTGACTGTTCCGAATGGTCCAAAATGGCCAAACATGGGTGTCCCAGGCCTCCGAGGACCCTTCCTTGGGATGCTGACAAATTTCCATTACAATTTCTCCTTCTGGGGGCAGTTTTTATGAGAGGAGAGTCAGGAATTAATAGTTTTTAGTATAAACCCTTGCTAGTTTTTAGTATAAACCTAGGGAACACAAAGGTGCCCGACACGCTAAGGCCAGATTTCTACGCAAGAGAGGATGCCAGCAGCAGGCAAGAAAACTGTTTCTTCTAGAAAGATTAATTCCTCAGAACTTCACTGCAACTATTTCTTAAAGAAGGAGATGGAATTTGTGGACAAGTTAAAACATTTGTTTTCCAGACTGTTACGAAGAAAAATATTGGTGAAAAGCAAAATCCCTACTGTCTTCATTTTATGCACCTGAAGTTCCCTGATCACTAATTTCGGTCTTTTACACCCTCCCCAGCTGTTAGGTCTTCGACTTCTGCCATTTCTGCAGATACATTTGCCAAAACCCTTGCTAAAGAAGTTTTGAAAGTCTAATGGTTAAATGTCTGGTGTCTGTGTTTTCTATCTATACTCTGTTCTATGTATATTCCTTCCATCTGTGCACTAATGTCTTTCTCCTGTCGGCCCTCAGAGTGATCCGTTTCTTAAATTCATCAGTCTGCTGGAATTTCCCTACATTTGTTTCCCACAACCTCCTTCCTTCAAAATTTGTCAGCCACGTTGTTCTTTCTCTTCCCACCCTCATGTTACTGGGTCACGCTGTGTGGGAGGAGCAAAGAGACCTGCGTTCTAGACTCCTCGCCATGCCGGGCGGAGGTACGCTATGGTTTTAAGAAAACTGAATGTCTGTACAATGTCTGCGGTTCCACTGCCATAGAGGAGGTGTAGAACACAAGCATCTCGGGCTGCGAGGTCTCCTGGAGGCTCCTACCGAAGCTTTGGTTGCACGCAGAGAAATGAAGCTTTCTCTTTTTTATTACACTTTTATGTGTGTTACTTGTATATTTTAAATCTGGGGCAGAACTTAGGTATGTAATGGAAAAGATAATTACGTGCTACTCAGTACCACCCACCAAGAAGGAACTGAAAGGTGTGAACACTTAGAAATGGGTCATTAAACTGGTTGCCCCAGAACCATTTTGATCTTCATATTCAAGACCAGAAGCAAACAGCATCCATGACCAGCTAGTGAACTAGCTAAGCTGCTTAGGAGTCAAAGAGTGCTGCACCTCCTGAATCACCATTAAAACTGTAACCTAAATAAGCACACATGTTACAGAGTTGAGTGACAAGGAGAAAAAACTATGAATGATCCTTTCACCTTGACAAAAGTTGAGGTATCACAGAATAATTTCCTCCCCATTACTGTCTTCCATGCATGAGTATGCTCAAGGTCTGCTCTCTTCAGGTCTTAGTTTAAAATTAATGTGAAGGAAAGACTGAGCAATCTCTTTGTTTCCATAATAATTTCAGCACATTTAGTCTGTATTATATTTCACCATGCATTGCCTTTTTATTTTTTGTTCAGGACAATAATATCCCAACCTAGGGAACACAAAGGTGCCCGACACGCTGAGGCCAGATTTCTACGCAAGAGAGGATGCCAGCAGCAGGCAAGAAAACTGTTTCTTCTAGAAAGATTAATTCCTCAGAACTTCACTGCAACCATTTCTTAAAGAAGGAGATGGAATTTGTGGACAAGTTAAAACATTTGTTTTCTAGACTGTTACGAAGAAAAACATTGGTGAAAAGCAAAATCCCTACTGTCTTCATTTTATGCACCTGAAGTTCCCTGATCACTAATTTCGGTCTTTTACACCCTCCCCAGCTGTTAGGTCTTCGACTTCTGCCATTTCTGCAGATACATTTGCCAAAACCACATGTTCCAGGAATTCTGAATTTCGTGGTCTGTCTGATTCTCTACATTTGGAATCTGTCTCGTTAAAACATGGATGAAGCTGTCTTCCTAATGACTGGAAGCAATCGGTGAAGTTTCCATGGAGGAACCTATTCGGGAGATTTTAAACCTGCCTCCGCTCACCTCAGATTCAGCCAAAACCGTCTCCTCTTCCAGCTTGTGGTAACTAGGTACAAAATCCCTTGGATAGGAAATGCCAAGAATGTTTTAATTAAATAATCTGATGGAGCTACCATTTTTTCAACCATTCTCACTCTTTATTCTTTAGCAAACTTATTCTATACCTATCGAGTATAGAAGCTGAAAAAATAATAAAGTATACTCATTTTTAATGTTGAGCTTCCTTATAGTCAGAAGATATGATTGCTTCACTTTCTGAGAATCTGTACGTGGTAGCTCTGTTTAATTTAACTTAATTTAATTTAATTTATGTGTATTTATATAGCATATACAGGACAATGGAGGTATATAGAGTCTTGAAATGTGAAAAAGAGTGAGGTGAGGATTTCCCCCCAATATCTCTTTAAAAAAATTAAGAAAAGTAAAATAACCCTAAAATCCACCAGTGATGACCACTGAATTTTATTATGTCCAAAAGGTAAGAATAATTTATTTTTTACAAGTCATCTGCCAAGGGACCCAAGTAGATACTTATTCACAATAGCCGAAAAGTAGAAATAATACAAGTGTCCATCAAAGGATGAGTAGATTTTTAAAATGTGATATACACATGTGGGCAATATTATTCATCTACTGAAAAATGAAATCCAAATCTATGCTACAACATGGGAAAGCCTTGAGAACATTATGCTAATTGAAATAAGCCAGGCATAAAAGAACAACAACCCTACAATTTCATTTAGGTACTAGAAAAAGGCAAATTCATGGAAATGGAAAGTGTAGTGGAGTTGACTGGGGGCTCAAGGAAGGTGGTAACAGGGAGTTCCTGTTCAGTAGGTACAGAATCTCTGTTCGGGCTGATGAAAAATTCCTGAAAATAGATAGTCACGATGTTTGAGAACACTGTGAACATACTTAAGGCCACTGATGGTACACCTGAAAATAGTTAAGAAGGTACAAAGAAAACCTCTTAATAAAATCTTATTAAGCCATATGACAGCATAAAGCATCTGAAAAGACACACATTGCTTCACAAAATAATTTTTCATATACTTTTTGGTTTGATATAAAAAAGATTCACATTAATCTCTGCATAATGATGCAGCATAAACAGTTTCTAGTCACTAGGCTGCTCTGATCACATCATTTCCTTTTTTTTTTTTTGAACTTAGGAGGACACTTGTACATCTTCAGAAAACTGTCAGTGACACCTTAGGCCACTTTGAACCAGTAAGTCTGATCTTTGAGTCACATATTGGCTAAACTGTGTAGGCTGTTCTGTCTTTTCACGGTTGCTATAGAAACTGTGTAGTCACGGTGTGAGGAGACTAAAGGTCATCCAAGAGCGTACAATAAAAGTAAACTTATTTCATGCTTTATAATTTCTTCCAGCTGTCTCCGTTTGTGATCCCCATGTTCACATGGGAGTATATACACCTACTACCAAGAGGACCTGGTAACTGTAGCCAGTAAGCGATCTCACCCGCGACGGAATTGCAGCCTCTTTCCCTCAAAGATTTGTAATAGAAACACATGAAAGAAATGGCATGTAAGGTTCAGGTGTTTGCAATTATTTCCCTCATAGGAGCAGAGGTTTCCTAATCCAAAAATATGTTTCAGCTTCACTGGTTTTCCTTATGTATGGATATTGTGCAGTTTCAGGAGAATTTCATCTATATATCTCTTAATTCATTGACACTTCATCCATAACATAGTATCTCCTCTGAGCTCTTCTACAAGATCATTTCCTGTCTGGGTGGTCAAAAATAGGGTGTATTTAAATAGTGCTTGCTTTTGTGAAGCACACTCTTAGGAACTATATAACCTTTTGCCCTCCCAAGAAATGGAGAAATAAATGCTCAGGCCTGGGACTTGTAGGAGATGCCTTGTCAGTCGCATCACCACGGAGCGTTCTAGCACAATGCCTTAGCTCTCTTCGCGCTCAGGGACTGTTAGTCCCCCTTTAGACTGGTACCGATAGGGGAAGATGGATCCATCTGATGGTGTAAATCACTAACTGCCTAAATGTTCGTACTTAGGCAAGACTGTTTGGGGATTGCAAAGAAAGAAAGTGGGCTTGGAGCATTTTGTTTTCCTTGATTTCCATGAATGCAGGTTATAAGACTGATCCTTTAGGCTTCAGCAGCCTTAGACAACAGCAAGCTTTATCTTATGGTCCCATAAATTTGCCCCTTGATAATGGCCCTCTGCACATTATCAAAGCACTCTGTTTATAATTACCTGACCGGAACTGAGCGTTATTTCATAAAGCATTTGAATAATGAGCCTTGTTAAATAACATTCACTGTTTTGGGCAACAAATTCACCTACAGTGGATGAACTGGATGAATGGAACGAAAAGGAAATCACACACACACACACACACACACACACACACACACTGTATGATTCTGGCAGGAAATAGTGAAAGAAATAGTGAAAGGGTTGACACTGTTCTGATGTCTTTTTGGTTACTTGCCAAGCAGCTTTGAAGAGGCATCCAAATTCTCAGATCAGTTTCAAGTTTAGGGTTCTTTCAGGGGAGGGCCTCCTACCGAGCTTGACACATTACCCAAGTCCAAGGAGAGGGGGCATTATAATCTAGCAACCTGAGTAAGGTTTAAATGCGTGGGGACAATACAACTTCGAGCTTAAATAACAAAAATGGTCACCACTCAATTGTGTTTACAAAACACTAACTTGAAATGTATCTATATAGATATTCATAATCTATTCCTATTTATAATACCTTGATATTCTTTGGAATACATTACAAGACAACCCAGATACAAGCAGAAACTTTGTTCTTTTTTTAGAGAAGTTTAAGTTTCCTAATGTTTTACTTTTTGAAGGCTAAAGACAGTTTCAGTATTTTGAAAGCCATGAAATGACCAGCCTGTTGTTTACATTTGACCATGGTGTGAGAAAATATAAAACTTTCGGAATTGTTTGAAAACAGTACTTTCTGTTGTAAATAGATTGTATATGTGTCTGTATTGTGACCCTGAGAAGAAGGGGAAAAGGCTTCTCTAAATAAGAGATTTTGCCCTAATGTCAACAGATTACAAAAGGTGAGTAGTAATACCCTTCCCTACCTGCCACCTGCGTCACATTATATTTTACAGTAGTCAACTAGCAGTTACTTTGAGTCAGGTCTAGAAGGAGGAGTGTAGTAACCATGAGCTATTTTTCAAGTTCATATCTCATACTTCCTGTTCTGCTGAAAATGGGAACCTCAGGGGGCTTGGGGATGGAATGTGGGATGGGGGCAGCGTCCACTGCCAAGGTAGCTCATTCATATGAGGCAAATTTGTGCCCAGTGCAAGTTCGTGCCCATGTTGGGCTCCGCATAAGGTAGCTTGGGCTCCCGCACGCTGGGTGTCTGGTTTCCAATAGTGAATGTCCTGAGAAGAAGTGGAAGGTACCAATTTCTTCAGATACAGACACAGAAGATGACACAGCATCACTCTGCCATGTTCTATTATTCATCAGTTAGAGAGCCTATATTCAAGGTGAGGGGACAGAGGAACCACTTCTGTGCAGGAGGCCTGTCAGAGAATTTGGGGGCCTTGTAAAACCACCACTATGTGTACATCACCAAGAAAATAGACACTTCCTTCAATCTGATCTTGCCTTTATAATCTCACCTGGGAATGTCCACCCCAATCTTGTAAAATAAAGTAGTATATCCCCAAGTTCAGTTGGTGGACCTGTTGAAACCTGAATTTTCAAAGAGTCACAACAAAATAGGCAAGAAACTGTGTGACCTCCTTTTCTTTATTCGGGGTAAACTGTGAGTTTACTTAAAGCAAGGGAAATATCTCTTTGAGGTATTGCCTTGAAGCAATAATTGGCTCCAGAGATTATAAATTACCTCTTAATTTCTTATACCATCTTTCAAAGGCCCCTCAATATCTCTCCCCTCTTCCTTAAATCACTAAAATCCATGTGGATTAGCTGGAGACAAATCTTGAAGGGCATGTAGTTGTTTAGTTTATATTTTGCAGGCTTATTTTTCCATCATGCATTCTTAATCACCAAAATTTCTTTGAGTATGTGTTACATGCTAAGAATTTTAAAAATATGTGCTATTTGCCTTTATGGGAGTCACAGACCAGCGGGAAATATACTTGTAATAAAACAGTAAAAGAACTACTACAATAAAGCTAAAACACAAAATCCTGTGGTTTCTTCTGAGATTGAAGAATTCCAGATAGGTGCCATGAAGCTGATTTTAAGGGAAATGAAATGCTTCAGGCAAATGAGGGGAAGGAAATTTGATCAGCACGCAGCACGTAAATGGAAGGCACTGGTGGTTTTGAGAACCAGTCACTTACGTGTGTGTTTTTAGAACATGGAGAGGAGGTTGGTTGGGCTGAACCATGAGCTTTGTGTGCTGGGGCTCCATGTTTGGACTTGCCCTGATACGTTACAGAACGGAAATACTAACAAAGTCAGCACATTGGAGAGTGAGAGATGGCAATAGAGTTTGTTCTCTATGGGTGGTTATTTTTCTGAAAAACCTCAGCTTTTACAAACTTGCTTTAAAAAAAAAAAACCCCAAGAGGAAAAAAAAACAGGTAGTAGAGAATTTCGAGCTACACATATGTAGTTGTAAAACCTAAAAATCATTGAGCAAATATAGTATTTGATTCTATCTAGCTTCGGCCTCAGAGTGAAAGGTCTATTTCTGCTGTCAGCATAGGCCTCTTACAATTCCTCTCATTTCCATCATTTACTGTTAGAATAAAGCATGCAAATGCTCAGAGAAGACAACCGTGGTTTGTACACTAGATCCACCTCCCCCAGCATTTCAGTGTCAAGCCAATATCAGGCTGTACAATGTAATGCATGTTCCCTAGTTAATAAATGGCATATTGTCCAATCTCCATTATGAAAGCATGCTTTTGGGAATTGCCACATTTGGGGAGCTTAGGAAATGAGGAAGGAAGGTTATCCTATTAAGGGTAATAATTGTAGCTGTAAACCTAAGTTGCAAAGCTGGCTTGAATTATTCTGTTATAAAATTTTCAGGTAAAAATTTCATGGGGAATGGAGAGGTATTCTAATTTTAAAAAGACTTGAAAAATGTGCTAATGTTTGACCAATATGCTTTTTGAAACCTGTCCTATTAGTTTTGCCGAAGAGAAAATCTGCAAAATGAAAATTAGTTCACATTACGGCTCAAGGTCCCACAGCGGCTCTCGCTCCCTAAAACTTTGAAATCTAAAGTGAACTCTAAGATGTGTTAGGTTTTCTGGTTGATTTGGGGTCACATTATGTTTCTCCCTTCTGTGTTTACTTGCATACTCATGCCTCCGTTAGCACCCCATATTTATGAAAATTGTCAGGTTCCTAAATGTTCCCAAGGACTCCTATGTTGTGCCCATCATGAGAAACTCCCCATTTCTCCTGTATCTCTTGCAACTGTTGATTATTTAAGGGGTTTTATGGCTACTAATGACTTCCTGCCCAATTCTCCATGAGTTGTTCCTCTCCTGAGCTGTCCTGTCCCTCAGGCTGGACACCGCCAGGACCTCTACATCTCAAAGCACCTCCTACACAGGGCTGTGCATCCCCCCAACACGGCACTGGGCAGTAAGGAGGATTTCTGCTATTTGGTCTACAGCACAACATTAACAGAAGTGAATATTTAACATCTCTGCTTGGAAGTCTTTTGGGCATCATACAAGATTCTTCTCACTTATAATGTGTGTGGTTTTCCCCACACCAAGCAATTCTCAGACACTAGCTGGGTGTCCTATACAGGACTGCCCCCCATAGACACCACTTCGGACACTCATCGCCAGTCCAGGTTGTCAGAGCTGTGGTGGTCCAGGTGACCAACCTGCTATAGGTCAGAACTTCCAAGTACCCCATCCCTGGGTTACATGAATTTGCTGGAGACCTCACAAAACCCAGCGAAGCATTTTACTTACTAGATTACTGGTTTATTATAAAAAGATGTAACTCAGGAACAGCCAGACGTTAATGACCTATGATCCCAGAAGAGAAGGCAAAATAGTTTAATGGGACTTTAATGCAAAAGGGACAGGAAAGCCTTTAGTTCTGAAGCCATTTGCAAAAATTTTTAAAGTGATTTTCATATTTCTAGTTCCTTTCATAACCCCATAAAATAAGGTTCCCTTTTTCCCACACCTTAACTGCAAGATGTTGCATAAGGCAAGGTATGGGGAAGGAGTGTGGAGCTTCCACGCCCTCTCCCAGAGCACACCGCCCTCTCCGAATCTCCACGTGTTCACCAAGCCAGAAGCTCTCCAAACCCCATCCTTTGGGTTCTTGTGGAGGCTTCCTTACAGAGGAGCACTTGATTCAATCTCTGGTCATTGGTGATTGATTCAACTCCTTTCCCCTCCCCTGAACTCAGGGGGATGGGTCTGAAAGGCCCAACACCCTAATCACATGGTTGGCCCCTTTGGCAACCAGCCCCCCAACCTTTGGTGTTTTCCAAAGTCACTTATTAACAAAAAACACCTTTGCTCTCATCAGAGGAAGTTGCAAGAGTTTAGGGAGTTCTGTACCATGCACAGGGGTGAAAACCAAATATGTATTTCTTATTATAAATCACAATATCCCACCATCTCTGGGGACTTAGCAAGGATGTTCTCCCATAAAGGCACGTTGAAACATCAACCTTCCTTCTTAGCTCCATGTCCTTGGCTTCCTAGTTCAGTTCTGATTCTCCACCTGCCCCACTACCTCCATGGTTGATTTTCCTATTACTTCTCTTACGGAAAATTTTTATTTCTAGCCATTTTTGTTAAAATCAGTCTTCTTCCAAAAGGAACACTGATTTTAAGTTTTTAAGTAATGTCTTCTGCACACCACATTATACCCATTAGCCCATTTTCTAATCAGTATTTTATCTTATCAGTGTAAAATGCTGAAAAGTAGGGAACCATGTTCCCTAATAGTTTCACTTGGTAGTTATTTTATAGAAAAAAGAAGGAAAAAACACTGAGCACCTACCTTGTACCAGCCACTGAAGTAGATACTTCAAGTTCTCATTTTATCCTCCGATAACATTGGACCCCAACACTGGTAATCAGCTAGAGCTCAATAGCAGCTGCTTGTGTACAGCTGGCCAAGCGCTCTACCATTCACCTCTGTCAGTTGGCCATTTCACTTTCACAAGGCAGGCAACTCTGCCTTTTGGTACTCGGGAGCAATGCTCGTCAAAGATGAGAGTGAATCACCTGGGAGCTTGTTAGAAATCCATCATCTTAGAATCCACCTTAGAGCTACTGAAGGAGGATGCACATTTTATTCTATGCCTGCATTGTTGAGTATGCACATCAAAGTTAGAGAAGGATAATTAGAATGCTCAGCATGTTACTAGGATCATAGAAGCTTCACCGATACTTGTTAAGTTCTGTATTCAGCTAGGACTGCTGGCTCAACATAAGAGGATGTTAATGACCTACGATCCCAGAAGAGAGGGTAAAATAGTTTAATAGTGTGAAAGGGATAGGAAAGCCTTTAGTTCTGAAGCTATTTGCAAAAATTTAAAAAGTGATTTTCATATTTCTAGTTCCTTTCATAACCCCATAAAAGAAGGTTTCCTTTTTCCCACATCTTAACTGCAAATGCCTCATTTTTTATTTTTATGAATTTATCCATTCTGTCTAGATAATAGATTTGTTTCTTTTGCTCATTGACAACTAGAGAATATACATCTTAAGTTTTGTCATTGCCACATATTTCAGAAATGAAGTCCTTGAAGGAGGTATTACAGTTTAAACTTCATTCATGTTAGGGAAATTTTATGACTATAAGGAAATCCTCTTTGAAATTGCCAGAGTTTCTGTGAGTTCTTTCGCACCCAGCAAAAACACTGTAGGGGTCTTCCGTTATCCAAGGGTTTGCTGGTTGTCAGTTTTTTTTGCTTATTTGTTCCTATATTTTTAAAAAGAAAAGATTAGGGTGGAAAATGGGATAGGGTTACAGACAAATAAATTACACATTATAGGCTTATTTGAACCTTTAAATGTGGAACATGGTGGGGTTGGGGGAGCACGAAGCTCAAAAGGATATTTGCTGAACCAATTTTTATTGAAACTCAAATAATTTATAGAAAACTAAGCTTTCTGGTTCCTTGAGAG